CCCACACCAGCAGTCGCCCTCCCGGCCGGCCCTTAACTGCCCATCGCGCGGTGGCTCTGGCGCTGGCGGCCCTGCCCCGGGGAAACTGAGGCCCTGGGGGCACAGCTGTAGGGCGCCTCCTCTGGGCCCTCAGGGGCGTGGGCTCCGTCACTCTGGGAAGAGGCCTTGGGCCAGGTGGTGGCAGGGTGGCTCCCGGCCCGAGTGGACCAGCAGTTGGCATGATGGCTGTCGCTGGACTCCCATGTAGCCAACTGCGGTTCCAGTCCCGGACCCGGTGGCTTAAACTCACACCAGGGCCTGTGTGCGCATGCCCAAGATCCTAGGAGAAGAATGGAGGAGAAGGGATTGCGGCGTGGCCATCCCCCCTGGGGGGTGATTTGTCCCTTTCTATCTCTCTGTCTCTCTTTCTGGAGAGCGCACACGCCCTATAGCAAAAACCTCTCCAAAAAAACAAATGCATGCATGCACCAAACAGAGATTAGCCCACCTCCTGGTGACAGGTGGGAGGGGCCTTGGGGACACATCCATGTCTGTCAGCCCTGGCCGCCCCTCCCTGAACACTGCTGCACCCCTTTGGCCTGCTGGAACCCGGGCAGGTGTCAGGGGTCAGGCATGAGACATGGGGTCCAAGACCCAAGTTCCGAGCCCCAGCTTGGAGCCCAGGGCCTGGCCTGGGCTCGAGGGGGCCTGGCTCCCTCACTGGGTGCCCCTGGGTGAGCCAGTGCCCGGATCAGAGGTGGGGAGTCCTGGGCCAGCAGGAGCGTGGAGCCCACTGAGGTTCGAGTCTCGGACCTGGCAGCTCACTGTCTCACTAGCCTTTCTCTCTCTCTCTGGTCCAGTTACAAGTAATAACACCAGGACCGGCAGGTGGCATGGTGGTTAAGGGCACTGAACTCCCATATGGTCAACTGCGGTTCGAGTCCTGGGCCTGGCAGCTTGCTTTCTCACTTTCCTTCTCTCTCTCTCTCTCTCTCTCTCTCTCTCTCTCTGTCCCTCTCTGGACGATTAAA